AATATGGAAAGTTAGACACACAATTGAATTATATCCACCAGGATATAAAGCAATGTGTCATGACCATGTTATCATGATCCAAGGCCTTTGTGTTTGTACAATGTTCTTACAGCTTATATCTGTCTATCATGTGAATGTCATGGTTGGCAATTCAACAAAGTAGGACAGCTTGAAACGGTCTGCATGTCAAAAAAATAACTTAACATCTACTAAAACCAAGAGGCAACCTCCAATGAGGAAGTGCCTAAAACGGAATAATCCTTGAATGGCCAGTTCAGGCTGGCTCCAAAAGCGAGAAAATAACCATTAACCCCTTTGTGAAATTCAGTTAAAATGCCCAACTAAAACAAATACAGCCTGGTAAAAAAAAGTTGTTGTTATTGATAGCTAAGTTCTCAGTTCATGGAAACAGTAAGGGGTTGACCTAATACAGCTTAAAGTTGTGCATAGTTAGAGCCAACCAAGATCATAAGGATCAGGATCACATGGAGGAGCATTATATATTTCAGTTTCATGTTAATTGAGATAATTTTTTGTTTTTCTGCAGATTTTAAACCAAGTTACAAGGAAGAGGGACCTTGCCAGTAGCCAAGACGCTGAGATGTTCGAGGAGGTGAAGTTGCCAGGGGTAACAGGAGAACATTTATAGTTGTGAACAAATCCGAGGTTACATTTACACTGAACATAAATCTGTTTTTGTGTTAGCTCACTGCAGCCGACTAGTCCAGCATTTTACTACTCGGCCTCACTCCCATTAATTTATCATCCTCAAAACTCTTTCAACTGTTATGCAACAGCACTTTTTTTAACTTGGAAAGGCTGCTTCTTTCATTATTTATACCCTTTCATAGCACATATCTATCTGGGATAAAGGCCTGTATGGGGTTGAGTATTAAAATGGGGCAAACTTCCTGCATTCAGAAGGAACTGCAACTGCTACAAACGGTCTTCAGAAGAGCCATTTTTAGAGGAATAAAGCCTATTTCAGAGTCATGGCATCTACTCTTCTTTAGCTCAGTAATGGAGCAGCAGGGCTGAGAGTATCGTGCCTTCGAGTCGTTACCTATTCTACCATCCATTAGCTGAAAATTGTGGTGACTTTAAAACTGCTAACTATAAATTAAATGTGAAGGGTTTTCAGATATGGTTAGTTGAAGTTTTCTGACTGTTAACCAGGGGAACTGTACAAATCAGGGAGCAGGTCATGGAGCAAAGATAACACTCCTGTGCAAAAGTCAAACATGAAATGTCACAAAGTGTTTTCTGCATTTTTTTTGATGCCATTAAAAAAAGATGTACAGCGTGCCCTATCACATGAGATAAAGGTAGAACAGGGCCAACTCTGAAAGAAGTAAGTAGTGCGCCCCGAGATATCTCTAATGTCTGTTTCTATTTTTAAAAAGGTCAAGACAGGGTTTGTTATGCTTCAACAACACCGATCTGATAGATGATCACCATGGAGAAGAGAGCTTTAAAGGATTGAGGAGAGAGCTTCTGTTGGCAAAGGTTCCCCATTCATAGCGCACCACGTTAATGAAGTGATACATTTTGACCAACTGAGGTGTGAGGGTTACACATGGACAAAAAATGAAGGCTTGGTTGTTCCAACAAACCAATATTCTTTTGTGATTTGATAAGGCTTAGTTATGAAACTCCTCCATGGCATAGCTGTTCAGTAACCCTAACAATGAGGCTTAGAGCCAGCGTGATACAGTCACCTCAACAGTATCTTCTCCTGGGACCTGTTACCGTAGCCACTTTCCATCACACAGATTTAAAAAAAGAACAGGTACCAACTCTCCTGCTGATCTCACTGACGTTCTGGCCACCGGCATAGACTTAAAAAATATGAGAAATGAAGGAAATTCTGCCATTCTTAGTGCGATAAACACATGGACATCAAGCCTAAAAAATGGGATTTGATTGCTCATTAAAGTTGTGCTATACTATTTTATGTACTTACAAAAACTAACTCATTTAAATAACATAATCAAATAGTAATGGTAATGGATTTGAATATCCATCGGAAAAAAACAAAGGAAATACACCATGGCCATTTGCAACTGTTTTTATTTTCCACATTTGTCCATCTAGGCTTAGGGATTAAACTAACTTCATCTTAAAAACATTACACACATATACACGTTTTTGTTATTTGTATCAGGACTTCCTGCGCCTCTCCCATCCCAAAGAGACCGTCTTATTCCCACGATGGTGCAATGGAAGATCCACTAGTGCACCATTGAGACTAACCTGGAACTAGAAGCATCCCCAGCCAAGAAAACAAGCTTTGTAATCTTGAAAGCATCATTATCTCCCATCTTAATTGAACATGATAAGCACAAAGCCTACAAAAAGTATTTATATTTTGTATTGTAGATGTTTATTTTGTTACTACACAATGACAATGGATATAACTCAGTTTTGTTTCACAGTGATCATTAAAAAACTAACTTTAATCAGGGATAATAAAAAAAGAGGTGTTTTTAGAGGTGATATTGTAAGCTGAATCGATATGACGTGTGAGTAATCAAGTGCTTTTGCTTATTCAATGAAGATCTGACTTCATTCTTTGTCAACAGCTGTAAATCTGCTGAGAGCTGCCTATGCTCAAAGTGTTTGTGTGGGTAGTGAAAAAAGTTCTTTTGTGCTTTTATGTCTTTGCATGTTCTCTCTTCGCTTGTATGGTTTTCCTCTGGGTGCACCTGTTTCTACAGAGCAAAGGCATACAGGTTATGTGAAGCACAGTAGAGACTATGTTTTTCCCAAAGCTATGAATGGTATTATAAATGGTCGTACACTGCCTCTTGCACAGTGTGTGCTGGGATAGACTCCAGCACCCTGCAAGCTTAAGCATGTAGAGTTAATGGATGGAGTTTGTGCTAGTGATTGCCAAAATGTATGTGTGTATACAGTAAGACAAAAATGTATCTTTAGTGATATATTCAAATCTGATGTATGGTGGAAACAGAAATATACCACTCTTTTCTCAACCTGAAAGTTGATGGTGGCAAAATCATGCTGCAGTGAATGTATGTGATTATAAGGGGTCAAATTAAGTCTGCCGTCACAGGAACACATTAGGTATTGAGCTTAGTCTTGAATTTGTGGTATTAACTTGGCTTTTCACAGACAAAAACATATTTTACTTGACATAGCTTGAACCTTTTATTGAAGAGCTGGGGAGTAGTCCAGAAATGCTTAGTGGCTGCAGGCATATACATAGACTGTAACTGCTGAAAGAGCTGCTTCTACTTGATATCTACTTGAAAAGGGTTAATTGCTTAAACAGTCAATCATTTTGCATTTTATAATTGTGATACATTTGAGTAAACTCAGAGATTTAAATTCACTTTTAATATGAAAGATTAATTTCTCTTGATCACAAACATATCCCAATCACAAGACATCAACTGTGAGTCATTATGGAAAAGAAAGTAAACGGAAAGTAGTTTTGTAGGCACAAATATGAAAGAAGTTACATTATAGCAGCACGCCTCAATCACTATAGTGGATATGAATTTAGCCGTTTCCCCACTTGAGGCTACATACATTGACAAGGCATTTTTATATTTTGGAAATACGATAGAAAAAGGAAAGAAGGAAAGCATGTGGGATATTGAGTCCCAGTCCCTATTTGATTCCCTTGTATCTCCCATCTGTCCCATCTCCCGTCTCTTCTAATACAACAAAGTAACAAATTGGACTGGAAGCATTTTACTGCCTATAATTCATTCATGAGGGCTCTTCCTATGCACTGAGATGTGACCGCGTGGGAACAATTAATTGGCTTGTGAAGACATCCGTCAGACATGAAGAAGCCCTTCGCCATGGCAGCTTTACAACAACTCATATTCTTTGATATACTCGTTAAAGAATAGGTGTTCAATCATTTGCCAGCATATTTTTTTGTGTATTGACATTCTGCTGCACAGGTTGGGAATATAGGTTCTTACTATATATATAAATATAGAGTTCATTTTGCCAGTACACAGAATCCTGTTTACATTGAATTCAGTTGGCGCATGAAAAGGGTGACATAATGATCTATTACAGTCTGATCTATTACAGTTTCATAAGAGCTTTAGTTGTCTGGCATAGCATTTGAATTATTAACAGTTGTTAGCTCAAGAATAATCTTCAAAGCCAGTAGGGGGCAATGTTGTAATATATTTGTTCATTCATGAAGTCACCTCAATGAGATTCATTCAAAAATATTTGGTGATATGCTCTCTTGTGATGTACTATTCTGAAAAAAATATTGGATATTCAACATGAAAACATGACAACACAGCATACCACGTGCTGTGCTATGTGTAGATTTGCTGTTGTTTTGTATATGTATTATAGTTGTCTGACTGTAAAAAAAACTAAAGTTCCCTTGCTATGATCAGACATAAACCTACCCTGGTGCATGCCAGCTGCTTTTCTGTGGGTGTCTTTTTGTATTAACTGTTGTGTGTTTGGTTATGTTTCCCAGTAACTGTCACCAAGGCTGTAGATGCCTTAATGCAGCTAGAAGCAAAATACAGTAGCCATATGCCCCTCACCTCATTCATTCAATCAGGTCATGCATTTTCATTAAATGTTATACTTCTACATTTGAGTTATTCATTTCATGTTCATGATAAATGTGATCAACAGATCCAGTGAACTCTGTCTCCAATAGAAGTATGACCAGTGCTCAAAAATTGGTGTCACATTTTTTTGTATTTTCATTGCAGGCATGAGCAGTCTAAAATAGCATGAACACATTTTGAAAATTCAGTTTGTATGCCAGTTCATGTTCACCTTTGAACTACAGCTCGTTTTACAGTCACTCTCTGCACAGCCTCCTCACTAATTAGCCTATCTCTATGCCTGTGTGTGTTTCTCTGTGTGGAACTTGCTAAACAAGCATCGTTTGAAACCATTCATCTCCGCTCTCCAGCTGCTGTCATGGCAACCATGTATGACTGGCAGAAAACAGACTGCAGTGTCTGAGCTCCAGTCGACCTGGGCGCTTCAGAGCATGAACACACTCCTATGGGCAGACGAAGAGTTGTGATTTTGAGACACCAGGGCAGCCATGACTGTCAGGTGAGAGGCCCGAGGGCTATGTAGCTTACTGCTCACTTTTATGTGATTAACTCTGGACCATAATGCTAATCAAAACTATATATCTGTACAATGTGTGTGTTTTGTTTTTTTTAGTTTGGGAGCATGAATTATTGCTCTTTTGTTTATGTTTTTTCTTGACAGGCACACAATTAAGCATCTGGCTTACCAACCCCTGCGCACTAGAAACAAACATATGCAGCAGAAATGGGACAAGGCTTCATATGAATTACACAGAGGAAAGGTTCGGACAAGTATTTGTTTTTTTAACTGACTAAATACCTGGCTATGACTTGAAATCCCATATTTTGAACGTTTCACCTCAAGCTTTTATTCCAGTCTCAAATCCAATTAGCCAACTCTTCTTTGGAATAATTCAGTGCTTTAAACGAGGTGTTTCTACAAAATGTAATTGGTTTTTCTCCCAAGGTGAGGTCAGCCAAACCAACAATAAACACAACTCCACAAGAGACCTATCGTCACCTTGTCAACAAACTGAAGACGAAAAAGGTTGCTGTTTTTCCATATGTTTTAAACTCAACTCACATGATGTCCATAGGCTCAGAACAAATGTGTTTGTGCTTAAATCATCCAATGATGAAACTATAAGATATTAATAGCCCAGTAGATATTCTGATGTTTTAACCTCAATTTAGAAAATAAATGTTTTTCTTTTAACAATCATATATAATATCTCTAAGCTTAAAGAAGAAAGGACAATGAAGAGGGAAAACAATATGCTTGAGGAAACAATTTCACACATCTTGAAGACAACTGGAAGAGTTGACAACAGGAATTATTATGAGCAAAAAAGGTAAGTTAAGGTTGGGAAAGAGCTATCGGTGTAAAAATACATAATGAAGTCAGGCAACAAGTTGTATTGCCAAGAAATAAGGTGGCCTCTGTCTGAAACCAAAACCCCAGTTGTAAAGCATACGTTTACTCTACATTGTTGGCAAGGAGAAGCGACAGCTGGAGTTGCTCCGCATTACCAAGGAGAATCCAATGATACTTCTCCATCTGAGTCAATGCAAGTCACACTATAATGTGAGGAGCTGGCATGACGACTGGCTCAAAACTCTCAAGGTGATGGATAGCATAGCACGTTACCCACAGGGAAGAACAAATCAAAAGGTTAGATCCAACTTACGTTCATTTATCAAGCACAGTCTGTCAGTTCTGCACTGCTCCTCTTAAACTTTATCATATGATCTTTTTGTACAGCATTATAATTGTATTTTATGTGCCAAATACCAGGGACAAGAGAAGCACACTGATTGTAATAAAGAACAAAAGATCAGCGCGGATGAGTCAACAAACAGCCCTTCCAGCAAAAAGGCCAAGGGCAAAGCAGAATCTAAGGAAAAGAGAAAAGAAACCATAGAAAGAAGACTGACCCTGAACCAAATCCACCAAAGGAATCCACCAGATACAGCTGAGAATCCTGGTTCCTCTGACACCATTCAAATTAAAACAGATACATTCCCTCACACTGCTAAAATTCTCTCTGCCGATGGATCTGAAATGCCCAGCACTCTTCAAACACCTAAAACACTCCAGCAGGAGACTTCAAGTCCTGCAGAGGAATAAAATGCCTTCTTCTACAAACTCGTGTTTTTCTGTACATTCATTATTCTCTGTTAATTCCACTTGAAATAGTAGGCTATGATATGTAGGTTATCCCATCTTATTGTCAATGTATTTTTATTCTATCTTTATAGGCCTGTATGTCTTGGGCTCTTATTGCGAACACTAATTTTTACTTCTGAGCTGAACCGTTATATGGTCCAATACATTTCAATGTACTATTGACCCTGTGTTAACCTGCGAATGACTAATAAAAAGTATTATAGTCTTATCTACAGAGAAACTGGACCTAGAAACTGTATGACATTCTTAAATTGATCAGTAACACTTTGGTAGAGTGAGTGCAATTTTCACAAAAATAATGTCTTTGTTATGTGTTTCTTTGATGAAAACAAATAAAATACGTAATAAATAAATGGTATACATTTGTTGTGTTCGTAGTTATTTTACACTTAAACATAGCTGTATAGAGTGGCTAAGTCCCTCCCCTTCCGGGGGAGCTCCATGGGACCTTATTTCGGAAAAATTATGTATTGAAGTAAACTGCACTGTAACTTTTATCCATGTATTTTTTCTTTTAATGTTTCTTTTATTATCTTTTCTTTTTAATGACTGATTTCAAATGCCAATTTATGACTTGCCTTGCCTTGCCTTCAATGGAGAGAGAAAGATTATCTTTCGATCCCGTTTGAATTGTGCCACGAATTACACATATGATATTTGTCAATTTAAAAGATAATTTTTCAAGTCAAAAAAAAAAAAATGTTTCGTAAAACTGTGAAGCAACACATTTTGTTTGTGTGAAACGCTTAATGAACTACATCTCTGGTCTCGCAGAATAGTTTCCACCAGGTCCGTCTGCGCGGCCACTCTAGTCAATGGGTGCTATTCCACCACACGCGCCGCGTTACGGCTCAGACGCGTCCCAGAAGCGGTTCGGCGCAGCGCTTCTCTAAAATTAGGATGAATCCTATTTTTGCCGAGGCGCAGCCGTAACGTAAGGTCGGGCAGGCAGTCCCCCCTCGCAGGAAGTGGAAAGGTGAGCATCCGGGCCAGGCCCATCCCCCACATATACTAATTTAGCAGACCCCCTCCTTCATCACAACACCTCCACTAAGATACGCACAATGGACGACGAGATTTTCATCATGGAAGTGGAAAAACACACTATTTTATATGATGTAACCAATGCTTACTACAAGGACAACATCAGAAAGGACAAGGCCTGGTTTTTAGTCGCTGAAGTTTGTGGAGTGGAAGGTAACTAACAACTACATATTAATGTTTTTAAGTTAGCTAGACCAAAAACGTGGCGCAGCGCGGCGCAGACGGACCCAGTGGAAAAATTATTGAGTACCCTCACTATCAACACAATGAAACACGTGCAGAAGAATTAAATGCAAAGCTGCCTGCCTGCCTTCCTTCCTTTGATTCTCTCTGAACTACCTGTTCTTTTTAATGTTTAATGTCAACCATTTGTGCAGATAGCATGAAGT